CGACTAGCTGGCCTCGGCGAAATGTCGTGGTGCCGAATCAGCAGACAGCGCCCTGCACAATGCCTACAATAAGAAACCCTCTTTATGATTTATGACTATCTCGCCGATCCTAGCGCATATAGAAAAAAATCAACACTAGCGCGAGTATAGAAAAACAGTTCTTCGGGCAGCAACCGAGTAAAGTATCGCATACACCAGCCCATCGTGTTATGGCCTTCCTGGATTTCTTGCTGCAAAAGTGAAATAACCCAATTCACAATCAGAAGCAAAGCCGGCAAAACAATTCAAAAATATTCGTAGTTCCAGTCTAGATTGTTTGAGTTAATCACCTTTCGAGAAGAAACTCGCAAACAACCCTAACGAAAGCAGATCCTAACGGCTCCTTTCTTATCCTAACGTTTTTTTTCTTCAGAAACGCTTCACCGAAAAACTCTCGTAAAGAACGTAATTTCGCAGGCTGGACAGCGTTTTATTGTTACATTCGGTTCCGGTAAAGAGCAAAAACGAATGTTTTCGAAACATGCTTAGCTTGATGCGACCAAATGTGCTACACTTAATTGGTATGAATCACACTATGTCCGACGACACGCTTCGTTGTTCAAGTAGTGGGGCAGCTTCTTGACAGCAACATGACGGCGTTCGGTATTCAGCACGCCCATAAGCATGACAGCATCGGGTTTGGTAACAGTGTACGCTCTGGCAAGAAGGTTACCTGCCATTGACCTCGGCTGGAAAATGCGGTTGAGCAAGATTTGCAAGCGTCGTCGGTTAGGACTCTTAAGACAGGAGAAGTCCATAGTGAGCCCGTCTTCAGCCACGCCCAGTCGCCCACCACGCAAACAATTCGGAACAGATCATTGTCGCCCAGAATATTGACGTGGACAGTGTGGCAGACCGCACCTGACATCGCAGTAGAGTAAGTATAGGTATCCAGTCGTCAGCTATCCCAACAACTGCCAAATAGCAAACAATCGTAAAAATAACAGAAATAACATAACTGTTCCTCTGCTTCGACAAGGGCAAGTCACTAGCGCACTCTACACCTGACACCTACGTGTACTGCTGCATAGACTCTTGTGCAGCCATGACGCAAAACACCGGCCGGATCACTGGAGCAGCACACGGGAGCTGTTTAATGCACTACTGAATTTCCCCTACAAGTGGTTCGAAATAATCTCGTGAACCACATGGACAGACGACGTAATAAACGGTGTAACTTGACGCGGATAACTGCGCTTGCGCTTGCGTGCTCGCGTACGCTGAAAGTTATTGGAAAAGCGACTTTGAACTCGATAGTAGGGTTTGGATGCGTACAGATATCTGTATTCTCCCTTCGTAATCGTAACAGGTGTGAGCTACGAGTAGTTGACCCGCGGCCAGTGTCAGACAGCATACTTGGACAAATGGCGACGGTAACATTCGATACGAGTGCAGAGTACCCGCACCTGCGTCTGATCGACAGTGCACATCTGAAATTGCCCGTTCCACTGCCACAACTTTTCCGAGTAACCAGCCTGCAGAAAGCCGCTTTTAGATATGCCGCATAGCTTGTTACAGTACCTTTCATCCGTTTAAAATGGCATTGTACGTAGTACTAATAATTGTTACTGTTAGTTGTTGTCAGGGCCGTCGCGAGGGGGGTAGGGGTGGCGCGCGCCCCACTTCCGGAGGGAGAAAACGGGAAAATGGTGCGCCGGGAGCTGGCGCTGGCGCGAAAAAATGGGACTGGCGCTGGCGCAAAAAAATGGAACTGGCGCTGGCGCTTTGGCGCTGGCGCACCGAAAATCACAATAGAAAAGCGTAGAAAAGTGGCTTTTTTGAGCCCCTACCCTCGGATCTCGCGACGACCCTGCTTGTTGTTACCGTTACTGTTATAATTGTACTGTTACTGATAGTGGTACTAGTAGTGCTACTACTTAATGGTAAAGTTACTGTTAGTGGCAGCAAGAATAGTACTACAATAACATTGTACAATAACCAGTTTCGGGAGCAGGGAGGACAGTTTACCGACCACTCTCCTGGCTTGTTCGTTATTCGCGGAAAAGAGAAAGATCTCCAGAAACTGTGGATCTCCTTCAGAACGGATTTTACGTTTCCGTAAGTACGCAGGTCACAACAGCATTGTAGGCTTCATGGTTCATTAAGTTTTATTAGATCTGATCTTCGAATTGCCTCTTTCAGTCAATAATTACGCTTTTATAGCTAACAGCGTTCGGTTCTTGTTGTGATAAGGTTATATTTATGGAATCTCGTTTACTCCGGATGCTAAGTTTCTTACACTTCTCAGCTTTTAGTGTAATCTATCATTTCAGTTATGGTATATTCATTATTTTATGTATTGTGTTCACTATAGCGATGAAACGAAACGAAAATGGTTGGAACCTGTAGCCTTCAATTCCTTCCATCAAATGGTCGGACACAAAGTCCTGCTGCACTTCCCATGGGCTTCGGAAATACTGAAAACGTACTCCTTCTCACCGCCTGTTGTCGTGGCTTGTGCCGTTCACCTTTGCGAAATCGGATACAAGTGGTCTACCACTACCGAACTCCGGCAGTTTCTGAAAAGTGAGTGCAGATATTAGTCTTACTGACACTACCAGTACTCAAAGTACTTTAACCGTGCCGTTTAGGCGGAGTCACTTTCGGGTCTCCGATGACGTCTAAAGCGTATTACTTTTTGACCAATTCGAAATCGATAGGAATCATATAGGTCTTCGGCTTGCTAAAAATATTTCATTATAACTCTGTGCAGCTGCCGTGGGATTGAAGCTGGCTGAAGAAATTGCGGAAGGACTTGAAGGACAAGATAACGCCGGAGGCCAGCAGCAGCCGGGCAATTTCGGAGAGCCGCAGCACGCTGAAGGCCCGCAGCAGCCGGGCAATCTTGGAGAGCCGTACCATGCTGAAGGCCAGCAGCAGCTGGGCAATCTCGGAGAGCCGCACCACGCTGGGGGTCAATTGGGGGCTTCTGCACCACGGCGCGGTAAATGCCAGATCTTATGAAGAAACGTAACAGTTGGCCGTTAACTGTCTGTCTATCTGTCTGAATTTCTTGGTGGTGGTTTATTTCAGAGGTTTGTGCTTGTTTAGTTTTCCAAAGTGTGCAGTGAACAGGGTATCGAAGTTGGACGATTATTTCTTTTCAGTACGTAAATGTTTATACAGTATGTATGGCTTTCTAATAATCAGTATGTCTGGTCTGCGCAGTGTGTAACGGTATCGTAAATCGTAATACGAGTAATAACGTGAATCGTGACTGTCTCGCTATTCAAGCCACGTTGTTACAGTCGAGTTGAGTAAAGTAATAGCCTAAAAGGCATAACTAGCTAACACCGTATGTTCCAATAATGTTTTGCAATGGCAGCCTGCGAGCTGTTTAGAATAGCTACACGATTTGCAGAAGGAACTCCACATGATAGCCAAAACTATATTGATTGCCAGGGTGATTCGCAAACAGCGTCAAAACCGAGATCCAGTGTGACATCGGGTCGCAGGTTGCCTTTCTAAAAACTGTGTTTCGGTTTATTTGTACTAGCGAAAACAGCTACCGGCGGGCGAGACCGAGAATTACCGGTATCACAACAATTCTATTTTATGTCCTAATGACAAGTGCTTCATGCTGTACAAGGTCACTTTGCATGCTTCTTCGTACATGGTAAAGCTCGCTAAAGTAACACAGGTTAATCAGAAAACACGGAATGTCGCATGAGCGAGACGAGGAGTTACTATCGGTATTAAGGCAGGGCGTCCACCAGCTGGATGAGCAAATGCAGCGCAACACGCGACAGTTTCTAAATTCTAAGCCCTGCAGACTTTTAACACATCACCTCCTCCTGCGTTATATCAACGATGGGCGCGGTCCCGCGCGGATTCGTCGCCAACATCGCCTGCAACAAAAAAAGTTTCCACTTCTTCCCGCATTACCGCGGGAAGAAGTGGAGCGTGGACGCCGGCGGGCTGGATGATGTGTCGCTGTCGCGCATTACTCGGCATCTGCTCGCTAGAATGCATTAGGGGACGAGTGCGACGGTGGATTTGTTTCGGGCCGGAACATTTCGAATTTTGCTGTGGCTCACCTGATACCCGTGGGACTTGTGAAACCAGGTCCATACGTAACGTACTTATGTCACTGATTAACTCATATCACGTATGCCACGGCGAGGTAACTGTAATTAGCTGTCCCTAATATTAGATTCTTAGGTTTCCAACTTGAGGAACTATTGGAACTCAGAAGGAACGGCCTTCTTACCCTTAGCAAATTTACTCTATGGAGAGCAAAAACTGGAATGTTTTTACATCGTCCCAGCATTTTCTGAAGCCGAATGAATGCTTTATTTGACGTAACTAGAAAACCGTTTGTTCTCGCAACACCCAGTTCTGAGATATGGCGAATTAAGAGAGGAAGAAAAAGGTCATGTAGTGGGCCGAAATTTAGGTCATAAACTGACTTTTAGCAACAATTCTGTGTTAGTGGCATAAAATTATCTGGCCTTCATTTAGCTTCCTGATAATTACAAAGGGACCAATTGCTGAAGGCAAAAATTTGCCGTCACGAGCAGTTATACTTAATTGCAGTTTCCCAAGGCGGCCGTCGTCGATTTATTCCGTGCGTTTTATTTGGAATTTTGGGATCTGCTAGTTTCAGAAGGTTAAACAACGAAGTAAGAATAACTTCAGTGAAAGTTTAGAAGCTACAACAATGTGCTCGTAGGTGCTGATTCAGCTTAAAAGCTTGGGCTGACGGAAACGTCAAACATGTTACAGTTATTTAAAATAAAAGATTTTATAAGGCAGACCCAGCAGGAAGTGCATCATGTGGCTCCTAATGCTAACAGTCCAACTGTTTAGCGATAAGCGGATTAACCAGCGATTAGCGATTAATCATAAGTACTGATACAAGAATAAAACCAAATCATCAGAAACTGGGAGAAATAGCGAAATATTGGTAAAAAGGAACCTAGTATCCAATGCCAAATATCCATGGAGCAGAATTGCTCATCTCATCGCATAGGGCACCTTCCCTTCTGAGCTATCTTCTTCTGCGCTTCAACGAGAAAGTGCAGGGTAACACGCGACAATTTCTCCAACTGCAAGTTTCCCAGGCCGTTTAAGCGCCAGTTCTTCCCTCGGTAATGGGCTGACGGACGCGGATCACAGGACTGCACCGCACATAGCATCTACCAAAAAAATGTCATCTTACTACTGATCTTAGTACTTTCAAAGTCGTAGCAGACCGGGTTCAAGCAACTTGCACCTGGAATCTATACCTTACAGACAACTGCTTTAAGATCCTCCTCTTCCTTCCCGCGCGCTTTCAACCGCTGCTGTAAATTCTGGAGCTCCTGGGCGCTCGGAATCGGCAGTGCCGCATCCAACGCATCCAGCAAAGCGCAGGCGAAATCGCCGTCAAGCGGCAGTCGCGCGGCGTGCACGTCGATTTTTACCTCAGCGTCCAGCCGTTCAGACGGAAGCGCCTTCCGCCAGTGCTTCGGTACCAGATCAAAGCTGCAAATCAGTAAAACAGGTCAATTCGCGAGGTGGATGGCGTCACACGGCAGACTGCGGCATCCGGCAATGAACTTTGTCCATCCAAAGGTAGTTGTATTCTGAACTGCGCTCGCCACTGGGCTTTTGTCTACCAGTAAAATCGCGAAGGCGGCCTGAACGGGCACCAATGACACCGCCGTAAATTAGCAACTGCAGTTTGACACGACGTAGGTAAACGGCACGCAGGCGAATTGCGGAATGATCTGCTACATAGTGCATGATGTCGCTGACCATCATCGCGCCGTCCACTAACGTCCAACGTCGATCATTGAGGCTAGTTATGACAACGCGTTCGGTGCCAGGGCGTAAGCGTTTGCACACAGTGGCCAAGCTGAGAAAATCATCGCAATCCCTTTGGGTGTAATTGTCATTGCGGACGACCATCACGGAACACAGTGCCATGATCGGGTCCCATGTTTTGCACACCGCACGGAGCTTCGTCCGAGTCACGGTGTTCAACTTTGAGAAGACCTCCTGCCACAGTTCCGCCGGTAACACCATCCCGTCGTCAGTGGTCGGAAATTCCCCGTTAAGATACTTGACAATGTCAAGCAACCTCCCATGAAAACATCGTCCCCGAAAAACGGTTCGACACTTTTTACAACAAAACATTTGCCATCAAGAAGCATCTCGCAGGTTCAGCTTTAAGATACTTGACAATGTCGAGCAAATCTATCTCTCTAAAATCGTTCAACACCTACATAAAAGATATTTGCCAGGTGATGGAGCATCTCGCACTTACCACCATCTGAACTGTGCCGCTGTGATCATACGTTCATCTATTTACTACAAAGTTGGTAAACGTATTTCAGCTTCCCGTCCTGGAGGTCCACCACGAAAACGGGCGAGCATAAGTACAGATCGTAGCCCTTCAAGCGTTTAACGAGCGCAGCGCATTCTTCCCAGGGCGAACGGAATTCCTCAACTAGGTCCACACTACGCACAGTAAACGCGTCGACCGAGTTCCCCGGAGGGATGCGGTCCCAAAGTAAATGGTGTTCGTCGGGATTATAACCATAGCAGGGTTTTTTTATCCAGCGCTTTATGCCGCTCAGCCAGCCGCAGGTAAGCTGCCACATCACAAGGCTGTCGAATGCGTTCGGTAGGAATGATGTCGGTGCAGGACGCTCCCGTGTCCGGACTGCGCCATCCGCACCAAAACCTCCACCGCGACGATGGCATGTTGTAGGTCATGCAAAATTATCATGTCCATCCGATTTATGGGACGCGGGGAGAAAACGCTGCCGAAAGGCGCAAATTCACGTTCTCGGTTCGGACACAGCAGATCGACAAAGAGATCAATCTTTCGCCACGTCCACTACTTTCCCGTAACGCATCCGCTGATCGCTGCCAAGAACGTACACAGCGCCATCCTGCTTCGTAGTGCTGAACATAGTTGACAATTTCAACCCACAAAATTGGAAACGAGTTTTGCTACTTAGGACGAGAACGGAGTCGGGTGCACTCCGAAAAAAGTACGTCCAAATTTTGTACAGTATTTCAAGATCAATACCAGTCAACGAACAATAATATGACACTGGACATTGATAGCAATTAGCAACAGCGTTGTACAACAAGAAGATCTGCTACGAATAAATTTCTGTTGCTTGTAAAATAAGTACAGTCCACAGGGCTATAGCCTAACATAAGTACAGTACTGAAGTACGCGATATCATGAAACAGAACTTAAACAAAATTAATAGCTGCGCGCCATGGTCCTGCGTCTTTACTGAAAACTGTAGTGTATTGAAAGCTTGACGGCTCTGTTGTTGTGCAACTGTGCAAGCCCGTCCGGGAGCGATTTTGATATATCCGCGAAATTCCGTGGAGTTCAGTATTCCGCGTAGGCAGATCGGTTGCTTTTTTTGTTTTGGGACAGTCAAACGACACGTTTTCAACTTAAAATGGTTGTCCTCACCACTTACTGTTAATGTCATAACAGAAGCCAGGCAAATTTCAACGCAAGTCGTAAGTTGATAGCATATGAATTTTTAAAATAGCAGCTGTTGGGCCAGTCGCTATGGCAGCCTACGAGCAGGCAGCCAGCGACAGTCCCGCTTCCGGTGTGCTGACTCACACCGAGTCGCACTCGCTGTTGAGCGCTTGATCGGCCTCGACTCAGGCAGCTTTCCGCCCAGCCTTACGTCTCGGCCAATCATCGGCCTCGATGTAGGCGGAGCCACGCCCCACTTCCACATCTCGGCCTATCAGCGTTCGTTCGCTCGTGTTGGATCAGCCCAGTGCCGCATTAGGCTTTTTCCCATGTTTTCGGCTCGATGTGCCGTTCACTTTGTCACTAGCAGATCATTCAATGTACTTTCACGATCCTGCTCACACCGAGCCTTTGTGTTTGGGTTTTCTGTACTTTATTGCTATCACAATAAAGCCTTCTCTCACTATCGTGAGCCTTTGTTCGCCTGCTGTCATATGATAGCAGATCTGAGTCTTCCTTCAACGGACCCTCTTGAGACCACGGTGTAGACCTACATCCGTAACGGCCGACGTGAAGAAAGGGGAGAACCGAAGGTTCCCATCCCCATCTGATCGCCGCCAGCCAGAACGGTCTGGTCTCTTTTCTCTCTCTTGCGGGCAGAAAGCCTCGGCAGACCCTCTTCTTGCGCGTGGACGGAACGTTCCTCGCGGAGACAACCCTCGGACGGACTTTGCCCGGGTTGATTAGCGGTTACCGCGGATCCCCGGACGGAACGGACGGCACGGACCCAGCGGACCCTCGCGGACCCTCTCAACCTCATCAATCGGGGTCGCCTTTGCCTTAAGTGGCACCCGCAACTTTAACAGCGCGGGATTCACCGGATCGACAGGCGGATTCACGCGGACTTACCCGGTAAATAGGGTCGACTGACCCTCGGTAAGCCTTGTAGAGCCTCTAAAGACCCGATATAGGCGGGCAACTTTCCTTTTCACCGGACCAAAAGTAGTTTTGGCCGGCTAAAACTTATTTTTACCCGAAAAAAGGGGCTTAAAAACATCTAATTAGGGTAAAAATAGGGTTAGCTAGCCTTACTAGGCCGGACCCTCGAGCCTCGGTGTAGACCCTCTGAGCCTCGGTTACCAACCTTTCTGAACCTTCAAAAAATTAAGGGAACTAATTTCCCCCGGCGAAATTAATTTTTGGTCGGCTAGAAAATTTTTCCTGAATTTTTCCTGAATTTCTGATATTTTTTTTCTAACGCGGAAAATAATTAATTAAAAATTTAAAATAATTGTGACGTCACGACGGCTGATTTTACATTATAATAACTGACCAATCAGTATAGCGGGAAATTCCCTATGCTGTAGGCCCGTAGTGACTCATAGTTTTTTGGAATTTTGCACGCGGCACGTAGAATCGTGACGTAGGCAGTAATCCGCAAGACCACTTAGCGGTGTGTGACGTCATAGCGGTCAGTGCTGTAGTATAGGACGTACGTAAGCTGTACCCTGTATTGACAACAGTACTGAGTTGCAAGTAGTACAATCACACCCACACCATCACCCCTCACCCCACCGGACCTCTGCCCCCCCACCGGACCTTAGCCCCCCCACCGGGCCCTTGGACCTTCAACAGGCAAAAAGCCTCATCAGCCTCGGACAAGTCCCCAATAGGGAAAGTCTGACTTTTTGGCCGAAGGGACAACCCGGAGGCTACTTCAAACGCTCCAATAGAGCTACCACCGAAGATGGCCGGTCGAGATAACCCGTACGAACGGAAGTTCGACCAGGGCTAAGCCCGACGGGACAATGCAGGCGGGTACACCTTCCGTCATGCCGGCCCGGGCACCGACCCTCACTCGTCGGACTCCAACTGATCGAGTAAGTCCGGTAAATCTAACCAGTCGACCATATCGGCAAAGGAGAAGCGAGATGCGCGGATCCTTGCGGATGACTTCACCCAATCGCCGGAGGATAGCTTCGAGGACGCACACGAACGGACGTTCCTCGAGCTACCACAGGCTGAGTCGGAGGTTCTGCATGACCCAAAAGGTCAAACTACGAACTCCGAGCCTGCGGCTGGACTTGTGCACCCAATAGGTGCCTCGCCAGTCTTCTTCCCGGCCATCACCCCGGACCATGGAGCCTCGAGCCCGGTGCTAAGCAGCTCCGAGGTGTCACCGGACATGGGTGACCCTGTGCAGCCCCAACTGGGCAGCATGGCTGGACCTAAACCGAGGCAAGGCCAGATGAGCCCGAGCCAAATGAAGGGTACGGTATCACCGACCCGGGGGGTGACCCACAAGGCGGGTTCACCGACTAAGTCCCCACTGACCCTGGCTCAAAGCCCCAAACCAACGGGCAATAACCCAAAATCTTCGGACAACAGTCGGAAATCGACGTCGCCGGACCCGAAGCGACCCTCGGGGACTCCGAAGGCGACCATACCGGACCCGAGGACCCTCACCGGGACTCCAACTCGGACTTCGAACTCATCGAAGCCGACCTCGGGAACTTCGAAATCTTCAACGGGAAGGTTGCAGTCGGCTAGAGCCTCAGACACCGAGGCTCGGACCACCAACACCGGGGCCCGGACTCCGACCCAACAGGTCGGAACCCCTAAGACCCGGCCGGTAACCCCCACTTCCTCGGCTAAGAAAGCCGTTTCCCCGGTCAGATCCCGGATTTCGTCGGTTGCAACCTCCGTAGACGAGGTTGAGGGTTCGGTTACCGAGGTTAACTTAACCTCGGCTGGCGGACCGTCATCCCCGAAACCCAAAGCCCCCGGCAGTGAACCTACGCCAACCCGAGCCAGCCAGATTGAAGCCTCACAGGCTGCACGTAAGTCGAAATCGGCTTCACCGAAGGTCGAGAAGCCAACCTCGGACCTCCCGGCCACATCACCGATGTTCGAACTCTCGAACCTCGGGGCTGACAAGACACCATCATCGACATATGACGTCTTCGACGCAACCGTGTTACCCAATAAGGTGACCGAGCGTCCGGACAGCAGAAAGGGCTTCAGGTACCCTTCACCGAAGCAACATCCAGGCTCACACATCGGAGCCTCGGACTATACACCCCGGCGGTACCTAACAAAGACCCCTCCGGAGAAGATCGACAACCCACAGGTCCTCCGTCAACGGATATACGAGCTGCAAAACCAGCTCTTGGCCGGACAAAACATCGTCGAATCGACGGAGAACGTCTTGTCCCAGACGGTAGCATCGCACAAGCAGGAGCGCACGAGGCTCACTGATGAACTTGAACGTGCGAACACCATCATCGATGACCTTACCCAGGAGATTGAACGGTTAGCGGCCCAGTTGCAAGTAACTGAGGGGCGCTGCCGTTACGACCAGAATGAAGTCAATAGACTTCAGGACATGCTGGAGCAGTCTCGTGCCGAAGTGGCCACCCTGCGTCGGGACTTGGAGCAGCAGCTGCAGACCCTCGGCGACTCCGAGGCTTGCTCGGCTGAGCTTTAGAATATGCTAGGCCGAGCGGATGAATATCTGGAGGAGAACAACAACCTCAAACAGGGCATCATCGGCTTGGAGGGAGAAATCGACGAACTTCAGTCGGAACTCGACTTCCTCCGGACAGCCTACGCGAACCTCCGGGAGAACCAGAACGACCCGGAGGGTCTTGCCATAGACCTTCGGCTATGCCAGGCCCAACTTGGTCAGCAGATCTATGTCCTAACCACTCATCTTCAGAATGAGACAGCCCGGTTCGAACAGGTTCGCGTTGAGCACCTCGCAGTCATCGAGGCTCAACGGGCCCGGATCACACAGCTCGAGTCCGAGAAAACCCAATGGGAAACGGACAAGACTCAATGGGAGAGAGACAAGGACTGTCTCCTAAAGTACCAACAAGAGCTCTACGACTTTACCACGGACGTGACCAAAAAGTACACCGGCCTGTGCCAAAAGTACAATCAGCTGGTCCAGGAACGAGAAGACCTGGGCATCGAGGTCGCGTGCCTGAAGGAGGAAAAGAATAACCTCGAGGACTCCATGACGGAGCAACCTCCATCCTACCGGACCACTCAAGAGCAGGATAAATGTCACCAAATTGATGACTACCTGCGCCGGGACAACCCCCTGCTGAACCCAACAGGTCAAACGGGGGCTCTCGAGAGTCAAACCTACCAGGTCGGAATGCTTCGGAACGAACCTTCGGTTAGACCTATGCCGAGGCCGCCGTTGGTACCGACAGCCCCGGAGCCGGAACCAAACACTTCGATGGCCACCCCCAATGCAACGACCCAGTCCACTACCACAACAACTACGGCTTACGGAGGAACATCCACAACGACGATGTTCTCAACCGAAACAAGGCCCGGGCCATCGACCTCAACCGGACAGGACGACCCCCGAGGCTCGAACCCCGAGACTCGGACCCCCGAGGCTCGAACCCCCGAGTCTCGGACCCCCGAGGCTCGGACCCCCGAG